TCTCAAAGGTGCCACAGGACCCTCTGTTGCTTTTTACAGATTCAAACTAACACGGCTATTCCTCTGATATGTTTCCCATGTTAGCTGTCCCTCATAAATGCATTTGCAGCATAACCTCCACTTTATTTTTGTTGATTGAACTGGTAACGTGAAGCGTAAGTGCAGCATGGTCTAGTGGCCTGAGCACAGAACTCAATTCTAATCCCGGCTCTTCCACAGAATTATTCTGTGTCTTTGGACAAATCAGTGAACGTCGGCGTCTTTAGGATAATCACCACTACAGGCAGCCACGGTAACAGCGAACTTCATCTAATGGTTTTCAGACGTTTAGCCAGGGTTTATTCTGGATAGATCGTGTGTGTACAAAGTTAATCGTTTTAGGGTTGCTGATCATCTTGCAGTACAGCCCCAGTAGCTGCAACTCTGGGTCACAATTCAGCCCCTGCTTCCCCCTAGCTGCATGGGGAAATAAACGGTGCTGGCCCTTTTCCTGCTATAGCTTGCTGCTCTCCCTCCCCCCACCCCCCGCCACCGCTCTGAGTTGAGAAGGCAGAGTGCGTTGGGCAGGATGGGTAGAAGCAACTTGTGGTGATGACTAAGGGCTGGTGATGGTGGTAGCCAGCTCAGGGCAATAAGGAGGCCCTGCATGCCCTCGTACTGCCCTGCATGGTGCACAGCCAGGGTCTCAGCTGAGATCTTTTGAAGGATGATGATGCCAAACTGTGCCATAGTGACAAACCTTAGCAGAATAACGCCAACCTGTGCAGGGTGACGAACAAAATTAGGAAATAATAGGAACTGAGACCCCAATCCTGCAATCAGATCTGTATGGAAGGACCCCAGGACTCTGTGAGAGCAAGGGGTGCCCCAGGTTTGGATCCGATTGCAGGAACTGGGCCCATTATTACAAAATTAGGGGCATTATAGTAGCTGCTGAAACACAGCTTTTATTTGAAGGTAAAATGTACATGATTTCACATTTTAAACATTTTTAGTCTATGGTTTAGAGAATTGGCATAATGAAAGTCATTAAACTTTTAAAAAATATACTCCCCCCCCACCCCCCAAAAAAGAAATATTCTTCAAAAATCACTAAGGAAGGGGAGAGGTCGAGTATAAAACGAAGATAAGAGT